AAAAATACTTGACTGGAATATGTTATATGATGGTAAGCTCACCTCACCCATCTTCTGAAAATATATTTTTAAATCTTTTCTATTTTAGGTTGCTCTAGCACAATCTTGTTCAAATGCATCCCCGGGTCTTCAGGAAAGGGCTGCTGGTGCTCTGTGGGGATTGTCAGTTTCCGAAGCCAACAGGTATAAATTTTGAGGCTCGGATGATATCACCTAATATGTCACAGAAGTCGAAAGCCAACAAGAATTGTTAATCTTACTGCAAGGAAGATCCTTATATTTATAAAAAAACTGTAGGGATGAAGGATGTTAATGAACTACTCTCTACGAAGAGTGCCAGTGATGTAGAGGATCTCAGTAGGACGTACCTAATATCAATATGTTCAGTATATTTGAGTAAGAACTCCTGTGATAAAAAGAGTTTATGGAAATTTGCCCGGAGACTCTCAATTATACATGCCTGGCTAGTTTGGTATTAGACGTGGGAAATTGTCCTTCAACCTTTATAAAATTTTTTTTATTTGGCTGTTTGGAAGACAATGATAGGAATCGATTAATTATGTGATGATAGGGGTATTCTGAACGTTTACCAAATGAGACCTTTTCCTTTAAGAAAAATCTGTACTCAGGTTTGCTTCTAAAGGTCTTGGTTTTAAAGTACTAATAACCCTGCCATCCAATTGCCTACTTTTTCCTTCGACATCTTCCACAGATGAGAAACTACAGTATTTTCTACATGAAAGTCTATTTGATCTTGTGGTTTAACTTCTAACCTCTTACCTTTTGGGGGTTTTTTAGCATTGCTATTGGTCAGCAAGGAGGTGTGGCACCATTAATTGCTTTGGCACGCTCAGATGCTGAAGTAAGTATTTCAAATTATTCTTGTGTGGCTTGATAATGAGCACTCAAATTGTCTTGTGGACTGCATATTTACCATTCATACGCTAAACTATTTGTGTATTATTTATTTTCATTTTCAGGATGTTCATGAGACTGCTGCTGGAGCTCTTTGGAATCTTGCCTTTAACCCTGGTAATGCCCTTCGCATAGTGGAGGAAGGGGGTGTTCCAGCCCTAGTTCATCTTTGTTATGCGTCAGTATCAAAAATGGCACGCTTCATGGCTGCTTTGGCATTGGCCTACATGTTTGATGGAAGGTACATGGACCGACTTTACTAGATCCACGGGCATGCTGCCTTCATTATTTTTTAAATTTATTTGGCTGGTTGATTTGTCCTTGACATTTGACAAGCGTTCTTCATTTTGCAGAATGGATGAATGTGCCTTGCCAGGAAGCTCATCAGAGGGCATTTCCAAGAGTGTGAGTTTAGATGGGGCTAGAAGGATGGCATTAAAGAACATTGAAGCCTTTGTTCAAACGTTTTCAGATCCACAAGCGTTTGCCACTGCTGCTGCATCCTCAGCGCCTGCAGCATTGGTACAAGTAACAGAACGAGCTCGTATTCAAGAAGCGGGCCATCTGCGATGCAGGTTCACTCATACTTGGAGAAATTTACTTGATTATTGGACACTTGTATTCTTATCCCCATTTATTTTAGTATACTCATATTTTTATGCCTTTGAATGTTGTATAATCAGTTTTCTTCAGCAGAACCTTGATGGAAAAATATGCATTGCCTGCTATTTTCCTTCAGCATATGATGCATGTCCATTCAAGTTATAGTTGTATATTCTTTAGTAAATCTTTTATATTTTCCCGCAAAATTCCTTTACAAAATATTTGCTCCTATGTTCCTGTGCTCGGATTTTTGTGGTCACTTAAAGGCTATGTATCTGCCTATCATGTGAATCACTTAAGGCTATATATCTGCTTATCGCTTGAATCTTGAAGGAATGTTGGTTGTGGGGCAGGGAAATTTTTTCTTAAAATTTCATTCAACTTACTCCTTTTTTTGTTTCTAATGTCTTAATTTTTCATAATTGTTAGTGGAGCTGAAATCGGAAGATTTGTTACGATGCTTCGAAATCCATCGCCTACGCTAAAAGCATGTGCAGCATTTGCCCTTCTACAGGTAAAGGCACCGATTTGAGTTCATAGTATTTCTCCAGATTTTATAAGCTACCCTTGAGTTATTGCACAATTTTTCTTCAGTACACGTATTCTCTTCCACATGCAGTTTACTATACCAGGGGGTCGGCACGCCTTACACCATGCAAGCCTTATGCAGAATGCAGGAGCATCAAGAGCCCTGCGTACTGCGGCTGCAGCAGCAACTGCCCCATTACAAGCCAAAATCTTCGCTAGGATTGTTCTTAGAAACCTAGAGCACCACAACATTGAATCTTCCCTTTAAAGACCAATTCAAAATTAAACCTGCAACAGATGGTGAGTTCTTGTTCAACTCAACTCATGGAGCTTAACAGAGCTGCATGGAATGCCCGAACCAGACGCACTTGTAAATGCCCCCTTATCATACCGATTTCTGTTGCCAAGCAGTCCACGAACCATATGGTTCGGCTTCTCAGCTTCACTGTTACTTCCTGGTGTATACCTTTTATCCGAGGTCTCGAAAGGTCGTTTTCGAAGCATTTTCTTCCTGTATTCTCAGTCCTCGTTCTATCAGAATTCATATATACTGATGGTACTTTATGCAGGGAGTTGATAAGAAGCACATTACCTTGAGACCTTTTTTTCCCCCTTCTTTTGGGTTAGCCATTTTGTTTTGGTTGTTAATATTGGTCCTGATGGTACTTTCCCTGTAATGATAGAAGTTCTAAATGTGCTAAAGATTGTACAATGTTTAGCTCTCATTTTTGCAGTTGGACTGGTTGAAGATGAATTGAGGATGTTTAGTTATTTAACTTTATTTAATTCAATGTTTGTCCATTTGAATTTGAATCTTAATAAATGGTGATGATTTAAATGTATTGAGATGGAATTTTTGGAGTTGTGGTATCTATTAATTGAGCTATAACTTCAGAAGGTATAATTCTTTTTAATGTTTTCGCTACGCAGCAGCTTCTCTCTATGGCGGAATGCTGATTGAAGTTAAATTTTTTAATTCATGGATGATGTCTAACAATAAACAACCGTTTTCTTTAGTACATCAACAACAATAAAATTCTTTTCGTTTGATCTAAGAAGAGAGTGGCAAAATTGGAATTTTAACAGAGATACCCAGCAATTTAGCTTCATAATCGGAATGAGTTTGTTCTGGATCCCTGGTAGGTTTAATTTGGACCTTGTAACCAAACAAATCATAATCATTCACGAATGAAAAATCATGTGAAAATACCGGACGGTGGACCCCATGATTAATGCATGATGGGGTCCAGTCTATGTATCATAAAACTATATAATGAAAGCAAAATTGGCGGTGTTGCTGTTTTGTTCTAGCGTAATTTTTTCCCACGTCCTGACTACAGTTTTCGCGGAATTCCGTTCACTTTCCTCCTCTTTTCTTTCCTTTTCCGTTGAGTTAACCGGATCTGACTTCAGCCACTCATCGGCCGGAGGTCGCGAGTCTGCGTCGCCCTTCGATTCGCTCGCTGATCGACGAGTACAAGCAGAAGAACAGCTTGAGTCAATTGACCCCCAAAACCCAGGTTGGTCCTTTTCAAATCTGAAACCCAGATGGGTTTTTCCTTCACTCATTCAGAAGTGAGAACTAGGAAGAGGGTCCTTTTTCTTTGCTGTTGAAAGTAATAAATTGAAGGTATAAGTAAAGTCAATATTGCACTATTCTGATTTTCCGAAATTTTGTTATTTGGATGCTCAAGAAATTCAATTAACAATACGTTTCTTTTTTCTAGTTATTTTTGAAAATTTCTTCATGGAAACGGGATATGCAATCTGTTGAAGAACCTCAGTGGCGATAAATCGTTTTTGAAGTTTTCCTTTTCAGCTTACGTGGACTGTTATTTCTTTTTTTGAATACTGTTTTTGATCGGAGTGTAATGGTAGTTGTTATTTTTCCCTTCCCACTTCTCATATTGGTGAAATTATTTTCTTTACCCACTATTTTCATTTGCGATTTTGCTCCCGGAGGCTTTTGTGTTTTGTGCTATCGTTCACTGAGAGGGCCCTGTCATTTTTTACAACATAGTCTATGCATTTCTAGGTATTTCAAATATTTTTATTTCTGGAATGCAAGTGGTTATGGAGGGTTCTTTGATGATTCTGGTGATTCTGACGGGACAGACCCTTATGATTTACTTTCTTTTCCCTTTCCTTTTTGAGAAGAAAGAATAATAGTGCGGTTAATTCTTTCTATCTGTCATGTTCATCGATTCCAAACAAGCAATGATGAGTTACTATTTTGTCCCCAAAATGAATTCTTCAGTGAATTCCATCTTTCTGTATTTTCAAGCTATAAATAAAATTTTCATGTGGAAAACAGATATAGGTTATTAACAATGAGTTCACGGACCTCCAATTTAAATTTTCCTTTGTTCTATTCACATTTGGAAAGCGTATAATTTTTTGTGTACTTTAGGTATTTGTAATAARCTGTGGATACGTATTGGTGTACGTGTGTTGCATTCTGATGCTGTTCATTTTTCTAGATGGTATTACTTGATTGCACGAAAGAGTGCCTCAATTTGGGCTTTTTTAGGCATGGGACCTGAGATTGTGCCTAAAGTGAAGGAGGAAGCTTTGATGGAGGTTTCGAGGGGTATGGAGGACAAAAATGCTGCTCAGGAGGAAAAAAATAACTTTTTGCAGAGTGCAAGTAGTTGTCAGGACAAAATTCTTGACATGGAAGCTATATCTGTTGGACGAACTGTCATGTTAGATGGAAGTGACAATATGGAGCTTGATGTTATTGGGTGTTCAGATAATTGTGATGAAGGTCCTAATGGGGAATGCAATGTTTCAACTGAAAATTCAAGCTCGTTTGGAGATACTGTATCTGGGACAGATTATGGCTTGTTATTGGATGACGAAGAAGTTGAATCCCAATTATATGGTGGTGATAACTTGCGGCGCATGTCCAATGGATACAGAGAAGTGTTTCCTAGGTACATGTATCTGTTCCTTTTATTTCCCTTCTACTGCATTTATATGTGCTTTTTGCTACCTTTTCTTTATAAGTTAATAAACAATTCGAAAACTGAATTTCATATACCATCCGTAAGAGACTGGACCATTTGTCCTTTTTCCTTTGCTTCTTGCACTAGAATCATGTCAAATTCAAGTTTGCCTTTCAGATTTACATTGATCACACAGAAAGAATCTTGTACAGCCTTCTCACCTCCTCTAATTTTCAGCTAGAATGTGTCTCGTATATCTGAAATATTTTGCAAGTGAATTTCTATCAGAAGCTAAGTAAATAGCATTGTCTAACCTAACACCCGAAGAATAATAGTGATAGTCGCTTGTATTGAATTCTGATGCTTGAAATTTTGAGCTCAATCATTGTACTTACTCCTCTAATTGAGTATGATAGGTCCACATATTGCATACTTATTCTAAGAGGGTTATGAAAGGGAAGTTCTGTGTAGTATAGTCATTTGGTTCAGTATGTTATAAGGGGACAGTAGCATTTAGTTGCTGCTAGGAGTCTTCATAAAACATAGCATGAAGTCTGTTATTAAAATAAAGATCCTTGCTAACAATCAAAAGAATCGCTCCATAGCTTCACTACAATACAATTTAATGAAATGTAAAATTATGGAAAACCATTATAGTATACTAAGAAGATGTCAATTATGTCAAATGAAACTATAATTAACATAGAGAAGATTACAAATATCATATCTGAGTCATGTTTTATTGGTCATCTTATCATTGGCTTGGTTGATATATCCAATGCTAAGTCATGTCGAGTTAAGTGAAATCAGGCTGGGTTGAATCTGGTCTTTTTAAAGTTTGTAATCTTTAGAAATATGTAAAAGTCGTCTAGGACAGATACAACTCAACAGATCTTATTTAACTTGGTCGAGTTTTGAACCTTGTGTTAGGGTGCACATGCCTATTCCTAAACATGTTAGTCTTCACCTTGCATGGTCAACATTTCAAGAACAAGCCAAAAATTTTGTTACTCAATACAATCAAGTTTCCTCGAATATGTTTTTATTCCTCAACTTCATATGATATTCACGTATTTATTTATGCATCTTACTTTATAGGAAGAAAAAGTTGACAGTTCATTGGAGAAAGTTTATAAGTCCCCTTATGTGGCGCTGTAGATGGTTAGAACTGCAAATTAAGAAACTTCAGTCTCAAGCGTTCAAATATGATAGAGAACTTGCATTATATGATCAAAGAAAGCAGTCCGTCTACGGAAACTTCTCAATGGAAGGTTTTGACGTGAAGTCAATAGGATTCTCAAGTCACACTCAAAGACACAGGGTTATGAAAAGAAAGAGAAGGAAGAAAACTGAAGAGACAACTGACGTAGCTTCATATATGGGACACCATAATCTATTCTCCTATTATGGTATCAAGTCCTCAACTATTTCTATGCAAGACATTTTTTTCTAGCGTCTCCCTCTTTGACATTGTAGTCTTCTTTTGTTATTCCAGAGAAGAAGAGGTCTCTTGCTGACGACATGGCTTTGGAAGATACTTTTCTTAAACTAGGTAAGTCAAGTTGATCATAACATTACTTTGGTAGTTTGGTTAACTCCGTTAAATTGTACATATGGCTGAGTAGGACTTTTCTGCAGATCAATAACTGGCCGAGTGAGGAAAGCTATTTTAAGTCTTCTACTGTTGGTTGAATGAATTATATACTTAATATTTTATGATGAAAAGCTTACAATATCATTTTTCTTAGGGTACGTGATATTATTACCCATTGTTTTTACATCCATATGTGGGTTTGACCTTGTTGATACCCATAAACTTGCAACAATCGTGTGAAAGTAACAAAAATTTTAACCTCTCAATTATTTCCTTATAATCTGTTGATCCCTTGAAAAATTCTCCTATTTCTCTCCGACAACATTTTTAATAAAATTGAGCTATAAAATCAGCCTTTCTTTTTCTGGGATGGCCACAAGAGTCTCACTCAATACAGAAATTATTTGGAGTTCTAGGGCAAACCATTTTGAAGCCAAAGATATTAAAAAGAAGCCTTCATAGGTCAAGAGAATAAGAACACCATAAGAAAAATGATTTACTTTCTTACAATTGGGACCTGCAAAGAGAGAACCAGGCCAGCAAGATGGTAAGATTAGAATGTCCTTATCAAACTTCATCATGAGATTGATTAAATAATATTTACAGACCAGACTGCTAATTGAAGAGAGACTCAAGTCTGATAGAACCTGACTTATCAATGTGGCATAGTATATTTTGACGATCTTTAATATGACAGTTGTGTATGTTTCCTGTTAATTTCCATTGCAAGATTGGGTTCCTATCAGAATGCCCACACAATGCTTGTCCAACAAGATCATTAGCAATMTTCGCCTTCGGTGAGTCCTTAATAGGTGTCTACCATGGGCTTCACAAGTATTGCACTTGGGTGATGAAAGGAACATCACGTGCCACATAATTTTCACTAGGGAAATCTACTCTTTCCAAATAGATTGTTTGCTGGAATCAACGAGGATAGTGAGGAAGTTCTAGCTTAGGCAACTAGAGTTTAGTGCGTTGCTGCTGTTTGGCAACTAACCTACATAGGAAGAAGCCCTTGGGAGGCAATCTGGTGAAAATTGGAATCTGATGGTAGAAACTAAAGGAACCTGCATAAGCTAAGATAGATAGAAGGCTTCAGCATCCCTTTTATTTATTGTCCCTTTTCAAGAACCTGAATGTAGATGCGAATATTATTGAAAGGAAAAATAATAAGTGGCACACTGCTCTCCACATTGATGTAGGCAGCTTGGGCTTGAGAAACCTCAGAAAGAATATTGTTTCTTTCGAAATAGACGTGTTGCTTTTATTACAACTTATTTTCCTTGTGGCTTTCTATTGTAGCAAGCAAATACTGCATTGGAATGATTTACTCGTTTCCTACTATCAATAATGGGATTAGTGGAAAAAAGTTTTTTTGATAAGAAAATTAAATTTTCATTATCAAAGAGAGTGGTCTCTTCACAAAAGAGAGAGAGAGACAGAGACAGAGACAGAGCAGTCCCTAAATGTTTATTTTGGATGCAGCAAGCCTAAGCGAGGCTGAGGTGAGTGGGCAATGGGTGATGTTACTGTCTTTTGGGAGGACTTGTTGATTACTGTACTAATAAGGTGTGATTCCCTAGATTCTTCCAAATGGCTAGTTTGGAGACCTTTTTGGTGAAAGATTCTCAGAATCCTATTGAAGGGGGATGGAGTGTTTTTTCAGAAGAACTTAAAATGATAGAGAATTGGAGCAATAAGCAAACTTGGTGAGTATTCTTGACAGCTGCTGACTCAACCAACAGAGTGATACTATCTTACGAGGGTTAGCAAGTCTAGGAATTAACCCCGTACATGTGAAGCCCTTAGTAAATACCTATTAAGGGCTTACCGAAGGTGAAGATTGCTAATGATCTTGTTGGACAATCAGTGTGTGGACGTTCTGATAGGAACCCAATCTTGCAATGGAAATTAACAGGAAAATATGAGGAAAAAAATTGCCATACCTATCCCAAACACTTCGGGATGCTTGGACTTTCCCAAGAAAACTATCCTCAAAATTCAGCATGCCTTCTGACTAATGTCTAGTGGCAAACATGACCTCTTAATGTACAAATAATATCCCCAATATTTTTCCACTGATATTCCTAACGCATTCCTTTCAGAAGAAAAGCTAAAACCATATCAAGATAAGAGTTGTGAAGACATCTCTTTGAGAATTTGGTTGGAAAGGAATTGAAGAACTTTTGATGATAAATCTAGTATTTGGAACGACTAGGTGCTTCACGGTGTACACTTTGGAATTCCTCTATTAACATGCATTCTTTTATCATGCTAATTAGAGATAGATTCACGAGTCATGTTGGTTGCAGTCATAGTTAATTATTATTCTTCTTTCTGTTTTTATCAATATAATTGTTAAATAATTATATTTTTGATAACTAAAAGAATAGCCCATTTTATAGGACTAAGTTTAAAAAAACTTTTATTCGTATTTGAAGAGCTCTTGGCTTACAATAGTCAATAGGCCATTGATTGTCTGCTTTGATATCTACAGACAAGACGAAGAATATGAGACGTTATGACATCAATTACTTTGGGACAAATGCAACGGAAGGATGGGAACCTTCTATGTTGGGAGGTAACGATAACATTTTGGAAGACATCTTTCTAAAAATTGAAGCTGTGCAGTCAAAAGTTCACATGTTGAAGAACAGAATTGACAAGGTGGTGAACGAAAATCCCATGAAGTTTGCTTCAATCAATCAGCTAAACTTTCTTGAATCAAGCGATGATCCCTCTTCACCTGAAGATGGAAATGATGCCTTAGTAAGGTCTTTGCATGAAGCATCACAACACATATCTGAGCATGCGTTTGGAGATGTACTTATGCCTGAAAGCGCAAATAAAAATCACGGAGAGGTCATTCTACTTCCTGATATGATTCAGAGTGCTGATTGTGGAAGTGTAAGTTTCCTCTACTACTTCTATATGCAATATCTTAACCCTTAAATCATAGAAATGTTGCCAATTATGGATTATTATCTTCTCACTGTACAATTGTGGATGTGTAGGTAGGCTTTCCTCTACAATTTATATACCATTCTGTTCCCATTTCCTCTACTATCTATATGACATTCTTGTCATTGTAATCCTTACACTGATGTTTGGAGTTTTCATTATCTTATGTATATTCTGTTTGATGACTTGATCCTCTATCAGAGTAGTGTGCCAGTACCAGTGTGTTGCTCATCATTTATTCATCGTATAACTCATTTTTGTTGAGAAAATGAAGATATTTACAGAGTGAAAACATTTTTTTTTTTGGGGTGACATTAACGTTCCTTGAATTGTGATGGTCAGACTGGGGACTCGTACTGAAATGATTTTTTGATATGGTTATTGGTTGCAACTATTAGATTATATTTAAAATATATTAGTTGTAAATATTGAAACTCACTTGTATTTTTGCAGACTCGGAAAGTTCAGATGCAAAATTGTGCAGTCAAGGAAGAGTTGCAACTTTCCGAAGAGGTTAAAGGTCAGTCTATTGAACAGCCTCAGGAATTGGAGGAGCAGAAAACCATTCCTCCAGCTGCAGTTTCTGAAGCTGACTTAGCCTCAAAGAACACTGAGCCCAACTTGCAACACGATACAAAACCGCTTTCTGCTGCCAAACCCAATCCATCAAAGAAAACAAAAAAGCGGGGAAGGCGAAAAACAGGTTCAAGTAAGCGGAATCAGAAAGCAACAGGTTAGCTGGATAAATGGGACTAGAAGATGGTTATTTTGCTTCTTATGTGGATGATGGAGGTTAGAAATTGTTAATGGTTCTTGTTCTTGTTCTACTGTATATTTTTCATGTCATGCTCTTATCTGCACATATCAACTCGATTATTTGTATATGCTGCAAATATTCATTAATTATGTTAATATAAAGATAGCATTAGACCGCAGTGGTTGAAATGAGAGGTTATAAACTCAAAATTTCTACGTCTCTAAGTTCTAAATCATAATTGGATTCAGCCAATGTTTTTATAAGTTCGAAGCCTTGATTCTTCTTTCAGATCAATTCTGAGGTGTTTTTCCTCCCTTAACCTAATTTCTTCATTAGGATGATTTTGACATTCATTTTAGAAAATGAGTTATATTCCATAGAATTGTTTTTTTAAAGATGATTACAGAAGATATTGAGAATTTCAAGCGACTAGCAAGTAGGAAAGTAAAGAAATCTATAAAAGCAATGTTTTTCTCATGGTTTTAAATAACTAAATGTGAGTTATGGGTCAAGATTACGCTTGAATCACAAAAAAGTATTAATATTTGTTTGGGTGATGGGTTTATTATTTGTAAAAATTAACATGTTGTGTACACTTGGAATCAAAGAAGAAATATGTAGTCATTACATTTAACAAATAATGGCAGAAGTTACTTCAGTAACTGGACCTCGTCTATTTACAATTCAGTTTTCTATTCTCATCTCACTGAATATATCTTCTAGAACCATAGTACAAAGAGCACAACAATGAAGCTTAAGTGCAAAACATGTTCTCTACATCGATGGTTCAGAGAAACGTTCTCGCAACTATTCTTCATTTTAAGAAGGAACATATTACATTTAAAGGCTTCCGCTCCAGCAAAATTTTGTTGATTATCTACATGATCGTCTCCAAAACTCTTGATTTTCAGAGACCTGATGACAGATCGATCAGCAAACCTCCAACTTTTCGATTATTTCAAAATGCATCTGCATGTTTGGAGGGCTATCAGCAAAACAAAATTTCTCACAAACCTGCAACTTTCCCCCACTTCTCCGAGCTTCTGATTCAAGCAAACTTAACATTTTTTCCTTCTCATGGCGTATCCAAACTCTTCTGCTGTCACACCATTGCCTAGGAGTACCGTGAAGAATGAAACGGACTCCTCTCGACTCCTGATCCTGAACAAGGCTACTGGAGATTCTTTTAATCACCTCGTGGTCTGTGAGGTATGCACCATGGGTGTTCAATCCAACATCCACATAATGAATCTCTGTCATGCTTTTCAAAAAGCCACGTTCTGTAGTAGGTATGAACTGAATCCCTTCGAGGTTAGAACATTCAACACCGGCTGATTGCTTAGAATGAGGAAGATTGTCAACAGCCATGAATTCTGACGAGCCAAGTTCAGCAACTAGTTGGTTAACTACAGTACCTCCCTTGCTGAATCCAAGAATGATTGTTTTGGGTAGACTGCAGCACAGTGTGGATATGGTGCTCGACTGTGAACCTTGTTTTCCCCTGGAAATCATCTTCTTTACCTGCCAAACCCACAGGTGATTGCATAAGTCCATATCAAAATCAGAACCAGTAAACTCATTCGGACTGTATGATTAAGAACGGCTACTTTATCAATGGCCTTTCTGTGCCTACCTCATTGTAGCAACTTCCCAAAAGTGAAACGGTTGACACTGAAGCAGGAAACCCATTTGGAATATATGATTTTGGTTCTCCCCATCGATTCAGATAAGGTATAAAGTCTTTATACACAGCAAAGGTCCCATTGAAATCAGAAGCCTCGACAACCCATGCATTAGTGGAGTCTCCGAATTTCGAAACTAAAATTTCAGCTATTTTCTGTAGATCAGACAGTCTCTCGATCACTGGATTACCTGTCCCTTCAACCCGATCTCCATTGAAGAAGATGACATTTGCGGAAGGAACCTATTGCCGTTCACATATTAATTAGAAGTTAAAGACCCGATTGAGGAGAAAGATGGCTGTTTTCCTAAAGGAAGATGAATACTTCAGAATTTGCAAGGTAAACTTTTTCAAGGAAAATAGCATCTAATATTTCCTTCATCTGAAATCAACGAGATTATAAGATCCACATGAAGGCGAGACCATTATATATAGGGATGCATATCATGGAACGCCACAATACAGTTGCATTTCAAGCATCGAGAACTTACAGTCAATGTTTTGGAATTTGGGGAAAGGCAGATTGATGCTCCAACTCGATAAAACTTCTGGCTCTTGGGATGCAGTGGAACCTTTAAAATTCCGCTCCAACGACCCATCAAGAGGTTGTCCGAAATGAATCAGCTTGATTGGATTAACAAAAGAAACACAAAGAAGCGAAATCTTCGTCAATAATCATTCGTTTATCATTAATCTCACACGGGGAGATCCCGAGATTGTCAAAATCTATCCTTTCCGAATGCATAAACTACCGTCGTACGTCAAATTCTTGCAACTAAGCACTGTAATTGCCACACGAAAGAGACGAAGAATTTCTAGGAAACGCACACAAATGGGTAATCTAAAAAGATAAACAGAAAATCAATCTCAAGCCAGAAAAAAATGAGGAAGCAAGATATATCGGTTGCTCGAGAGCAAACCAACGAGAGTGTGCACTCACCATGAAATTCGAACGACGACAGAAGCAGAAGAAGATTTCACCAGACTTTCTTTTAGATTCCCAAAGAGTTTGAGTGGATAGCCGGATCTCAATGGAGTTGGCCTTTGCTGGTTTTGCTCGATCCTTCAATTTCCTTGCCTTCTAGGATTTGCGTTTTTTTTGCAATTGAGGTCTTTTTCTTTCCTGCTTTTTTTTTTCAGTGTTTAAATATTAAAATATTCTATTTTAGTAATTCACCTTTTACCACTCAACTTTCAAAATATTTTAATTTAGCTCCTAAACTCTTTATGGAAGTGAAGTGAAACAAACTAAAAGGTACAATCATACGAATTGACCATACATCACCTTGATCTTACAAGGCAGCATATTGGTGATTTTGTTTTGACCCATTTCTAGATAAGAATCCTAGCAAGAAGATAAAGTTACTCGAGACCAAAAAAGTAGTGGTTGGTGGTAAATGGTTTCATCTCTTACTATAAAGAGGCATAAGAAATACCATAAATTTACAAAACATAATGATGGGTTCAATTTAATCTGAGGCAATGTAAAAGATAAAGTTGAGACCAAATAAGATAAAGAAGTGGTGGTCAAAGGTTACATCTTCTGTTATCAATGGCCTGTCCGCACTTGAAGTACTACATAAAAGAATTGATTGTGTAACTGAGGAAAAGACCATTTTTGAGACGGAGGAGTGAGAGGTTAAAGGCATGTTGAACCTCAGATGAACGGTTGATGTCATGCGCCTGAAGGACCCAACAAGCAATTTGATCCTGAAGGTTGATGTGATAAGACATACTACAGAATCCTACTGCTTCCAAAATGAAAATCCACTTGCTCTTGAAACCCTTCTAACCTCAGGTTGTCGGCGAAAATCAATTTTCTGATCAATTTTCTTGGGGAGCGATCTGGAGTTCTTGCCTTCCCCAGAACAATCTGATTGGTTCTCTGATAAACCGTTCGTATAGCCTTGAATCATGGGCTTACCAGCAAGCCAAGCTTGAAGTACCTCATCTATCTTTGGTTCAGGAAGTAACTCCTTTTCCTTCATTTCCAAATAGTATTTGTATGCATCTTCTAATTTTCCATTCAAGAAGAGACCATGTATTAGCACAATATAAGAGCTGCGATCAGGACTGATTCCACTTTCACTCATTTCACGCCATATTTTGGAAACATTATCAAGCTGGCGCCATCTGCAAAATTTTCTGATCAACATTATGTAGGTATCAGTAGTTGGATTGCACCCCATTCTTCTCATCCTCTCCAATAGCTCAAATATTTCTTCCTCAGTCCTCAAGAATCTCAAGAAGGCGTGATAAGTCTGAATTGTTGGGAAAAGCCCCCGCTGCAACAGCTCCTCAAAAACTGCTCTAGCTTCATCAAATTTCCGGGCCTTGCATAGAGGCTTGATAACTGAGTTATAAGTAACAACATCTGCAATAATACCCTTCTCTTCCATGCATTTTATGAGATGGGAAGCTTCTTTCAGAAGCCCACCTTTGGCAAGAGCATGAATGACTGCATTGTAAACTTTCCTATCAGGTTCAATTTTCATTTGCTTCATATTGTCAAAAAGCCTGAGCACCTTATAAAGGTGGCGAGCTTTCGAGTAACAAGAAATGATACTTGCATATGAGACAGCATCATGACTGATACCCCTTTGCGTCATCTCCTTCCAAATTCTCTCTGCATCACGAAGACTACCAATTATATTACACCATCCATTGAGGATAATATTGAAGCTCTTCGTGTTAAATGGGAAGACATCTTTGTTGCAAAAGAGTAAATATTCTGCATCTTTCACATTTTTGTAGCGGCAAAGGGCAGAGAGAAGGTTTTGAAATTCCTCAAGTCCAACGTTAAACCCAAATTTTTTATGAGCATGGAAGGTATTTATAGCTTTGCCAACATCATGAACAGCACAGTATTTTCTAATCATAATAAGAAGAGTTTGAGGAGTCACTAGAGAAGAGCCCGTCGCCCCTCCTCTCATCTCATCAATCAAGGCCCAGGCCGTGTCAAACTTTCTCATTTTCCCAAGAATTGAAATCATAGAATGATATTCACGCACTGAATGGGCATAGCCAGGCTGCTTACTAGCCCAAACAAAAAAAGTGAACGCTGCTTCCCAATCATTGCGAACCCGAGAAAGTACTGCTACTACCAACTCCTCTGAGACCTTAATACGGCAATGCTCCAGCTTATTTTTCACTTGAATTCGATTTACATCCCCAAACCCACGTAATATATCCACAATCGCATCCACATCTCGTATGACACCCTCGTCAGTGATGCTCAATTGCTTAATGTTCACGTCCTCTTCATATTCTTCTCCATTGTCGTTGTCATCGCCGCTAACTTGATCATCATTGGCAACATGTTGACTCGATTCTTCCGAAGGGGCGTTCAATATATCGCGTTTGGAGCTTGGGGAAATATACGAACAAGAACAAAAGCCAGAAGAGAAAAGAGCCCGAAAATTGGGATTCGTTGGAGTAGCAGCATCGACAGTTTGAATTCGAGTAGGCCTCGAACTAAAATCAGAGGCCATGGTAGGACTGGTAAGAGCTCCGAGCTCAACGAGTTGGGTGGATTTAACAGAATACCAACTGAAATACGTACGACCCAGAACCGACAATGAAGAAAGCTTTGATCTCATTCTTCCATCCCACATAGCTAGCTAGAAACAACCTGCAGAGATCAAGTCATACTTGGCACATCCTCAGAAAAAAAATTATGAGCAGCAAGTGTTTGTGGAAAGTTCTGTGAGAAAAGCAGAGCAGAAACGAAAATGGCGATCGCTTACCGACCAAGTTGAGAGAAGGCGAGTTATATTGGCCGACAATTACAGCCGGAAGTGGCAAAATAGGCTCCAGTGAGCGTGGAAACTTCCGGCTTGGGTATATAGGCACGCCACTCTGAAGTCTGAAGACTTGATCTCGTGTCCTCTACAGTCTCCCGATGAAATCGTAAACACTGAAGCAAGTAATTTGCTCCGCCAAAACAAAAGTTACACTTTCGATTGAAGCATCGTTTCGTTTCCTATCGACATGTTAGCTTTCGTGATAGAAACACCACCGTTTTACAAATATGTGAGAGAAATATGGAGGGGATGGAATATTTATAATTGTTATGAAATTTGTACCCGCAAAAGTGAACTAATAAATAATTGTTCTACATTTTCTTCAAATAAATTATAAGTATTTCAAACTTCAAATTAGTCTCTAACCTATCTATCTCATGTGGTAATTTAAAAAGTTTTTCAAAACTTTAAATTTTGTGTCCTATATAGCCTATAGGCTTATGCTATTAATTTAATATCATCTTAAAATATTTTTAGCACGTGGATAATAAGCTATTTCAAGTTTAAATCTTTTGTTGGTTTTTACTTGTCATAGGTGCAAGAATTTTGCTTTTAGGATCTCTAATGAGAATTTCATTACTCGGCTTGAAGTTCGGATTAGAATAGTCAACGAATGCTTAGAAGCTGCATAGAGAGATAAAAGGTTTTGACATTCAAGTCAATCTAAGTATGATGATCTATTACTCAAAGAGAGAATAGACTCGCGTACCTAAGAAATGAAACATAACTCTCAATTTATAGGTTTTGACCGGCCGACATTACTTGCTTAATAGTTACGATCGCTCCGTAAATTGTAGCATGTTGTTGGAAAAATGGTTAAGAGTAGCGAAGTGTGGTACGTTGATCATGCCCTTTATGAGGTCGGTCGTTGAGATCTTTATTGGTTGGCTCTGCTTATATGAAGGCATGTATCTCGACCAATAAAGGTGGCTGAACAAAGATCAATAAGTCCAAAGGCGGAATGAAGGAGGAGAGGGAGCAATCTCCTTTAGTTTGTTGCAACTCAAAAAGCCTATATAAAATACTAAAAGTTTTGTAATTTCCCTCTAGTTCACCGTCTTTGAATGTTTATTAATGAAATACCATATATAAAATATTGAATTACAAAATTCTATATTAATTATAGAAAATGATCTTTAATCTAAAACTTTGATCAGGTTCTAAAAACTGGTTCCTAGGTTATACTTATATACTAGTCTTTGTAAAGTAAAAGGCAACCTACAAACTTACTCATTTAGTTATATAGTTTACCTACATTATTCTTTTGGAAATTTGACCTGTGACAAAAAGTTTTTTTTTAACTATAAAAAACCATTTATTTGTACATTTAACGTACATTGCGTCTATTTTATTGTCATTTAAAATTTTGTTTCTTCCTCAGAAATTTTATTTGTTGGTATCCATCTAAAACGTACCCTTAAAATTTTGATCAAATTTTAATAAAATCTATAGAAAATAAATAAATAAAAAGTTATGTGCACAACGATGTAATTTGTAATTGTTAGAGAGCACTTACAAAATAAGCATAATTTAAAAAAATAATAAATTTATTGCCCAATTGATCCTAAAATTTATAACTTTTTTCCTATGTAATTAGTAAAGTTAATTACACATTTGCACAAGGCACGCATTTAGAAAGCAACTTTATCAAGAAGAATCGAAGAGCTATTTTTGGTATAAAGGGCTTTTTGGACATTTGGCAGAACAAATCGGCAAAAGAGAGTTAGAAGACGACGACGTATCGATGCATGGGGGATTTGTTACTTTGACCAGTTTAGCCCATCCGCTTGAAGCCCTCGTGGTTTCAGCCCAGACTCAGAGGCATCGTCTTCTGCAAGCGAAGGCCCGACTCGGAAGAAGTTGTTCAGATGGATTTTCATTTAACGCAGCCGTGATTCTCCCTTTTTCTCTCAGCCTCGAAAAGGAAGAAACCAACCCACAGAAACAAGACTCGCCGATAACTGTACCCAGATTCCAATTCTTCTATCCCCTCGATTTTCTACTTCACTGGTATGCCGTGCAGACTTTCACTGTGATTTATTCGCGTTTTCTTTCTTTTCCTTTCAACATCGGGAGTCTTCACTTTGCAGTATCAAAAGTGCCTAGATGTGCTACTGGATTCGTTTGATTTTTTACTTTCAGCTGAAATTGCCAGCAGTGATGTTTTCTTTTGCTGCCTCGTAATGTGCATGTTCGCAAGATTTATCCTATTTATTTGTGTTTCTATTTGATGTTACATTCACCTAGGTGTGTATGTTCCAATAGGGTTTGGTATTTTTTGCAATCCCCATTTTCTCTCTTTGTCTCTTGCTATATGATTCTGAGATTCGTTTATTGAAAAAGTGAGCTGTTTCCTAGTTGTATTCGGTTGGTCCGATTTGCATCTCCGAGGCCATGTTTTAATTATTTTGTGTGTTAGGATATCTCTGAGACGGAGCACAGTGGTCGACGGGACATGAGTTAGGTTTATGTTCAGGGTATATAAAAGGATAGATTTTGTCTTATTAGTCCCGTAGGCAGACATCATATTTCCTTTCCTCTGGTCGTTCATTTAGTTTTTAGAATTTCATCATCTTAGATCAAGCACTATGGAATTCACTTTAATGTTATTTAATCTTCTAATTCTTACCTATAAAAACAAGATCTGGATTCCATGTAATGTTGCTTCTAGATATCATCACACGAACTGAAGTTGCATGTTTTCGTTTTGATCATGTTCATCTTGTTTCATTTACCTTTTGTTAGTTAGTGATACCCCCATACCCATATTCAAGAACTTAAGTGATGAATTTTTAGATTTGTTAAATGCATTTGCTACATTACAGGTGATTTTGGTGCTTATCAAGTTTGTTTGTTGAATGACAATATCTGTAACGTGAAGCAGTCATGGCAGATGGTTCGGAAGTTGAGGAGCGGGTGGATCTTGAAGAGGACAATTACATGGAAGAGATGGATGATGATGTGGAAGAACATGTAGATGAGGATGGAGTAGATAGGAGAGACAGCGAACATCCAGAAGAGGATGTTGGAGAAGTACGTGAAGAGCCTCAAGTTGGGACCAACACAGAAGATGGTAGAGATAACGTATCTATAGAATCTATAGAAAATAGAGAAAAGTCTGCTTCTTTGTTAGATGAAGATGACCTAGAGAAGCACGCTCAGCTTCTTGCGCTTCCTCCCCACGGATCTGAAGTTTTTATCGGTGGACTTTCACGGGATGTTTTAGAAGAAGATTTGAGAGACTTGTGTGAATCACTAGGTGAAATATTTGAGGTCTGGAGCGTTGTTTATTTTCTCTCGTGCCCTCTCTTTCTTTCTCTGGGCCTTCAATTTTAGAGCTATGTTTTGGTAATATAATTGTTTTGCAGATAAGGATAATTAAGGACAGAGATTCTGGTGAAAGCAAAGGTTATGCTTTTATATCGTTTAAAACCAAAGAGGCTGCACAAAAGGCTATTGAGCATTTGCATAGTAAAGAAGTCAAGGTAGTTCTGGGACCTCTTTAAACTTTGATGTCCTTATATTTACTTTACCCTTTTTCAGCAGCATCAAAGCTGCTTTTTTTTTATTGTTCTTTTTTTTTCTCAGATATCCATCACCAATAAATTTAAATGTGATTTTAGTTTATGCTTCACACTACAGGGTAAAACGATAAGGTGTTCTCTGTCTGATTCTAAACACAGATTATTTATCGGTAATATCCCAAAAAGTTGGACAGAGGATGAGTTTAAGGGACTTATTGAAGGGGTTGGTCCTGGCGTTGAAAACATTGAGCTTATTAAGGTGAAGTTGCAGATTTATACATCATATTCTCTAGAAATTTATAGTTATTAAGGCTTTATATTCTTTCTTCTGTATAATCAATTGCAGGATCCTCAGAACCCAAGCAGAAACCGTGGCTTTGCATTTGTTCTGTATTATAACAATGCATGTGCTGATTATTCAAGGCAGAAAATGTCCAGTGTGAATTTTAAGCTGGATGGAAATTCCCCAACTGTTAGTTGGGCTGACCCAAAAAGTACGCCTGATAATTCTGCCGCTGCTCAGGTATTGAGTCGTCATCATTGGAAAAAATTATCTGGGATTTGCGTGGCATTTTTCAATTGCCTTGAAATTTCATATCAACTGGAATTTGGTTAATAAATGTGTGGTACGGAGGTTAAAAAGAGAGAACTGAAACAGTTCTTAGGCAGAGAAATTCACATGTCATGCTATTTGATTTCTTCAATTTCAATAACTGAATAAGTGATGGCAACAAGGTATTTGACCCACAAAATAATATTGATTTGACCAAATGAACAATGAACGAGTAATGTGAGTAGAAAGATAGTCATCTTGGTAATTTTGAGGAAACTAATTGCTTAGATTTCTCTTTGAGCTAAGTTCACTACAAAATCCTCACAAGGTAGCCTGACTCACCCCACTGATCTCTAGCTGGCCAGTGGCCACTGACGAACTCCGTAGAATTCTTACTATCATTTGTAACTACTAACCCTTGTATTTACCAATACGCCAATTAAAACCCAATGTCAAATGTTGAGCTGAAAACAGATTTCATTTAAATTTTGGTGCACTGTTTCAAAAGCCCAATAAAGTCTGTGCTGCTGTGCTTACTGCTTAGGCTAGGTCAGGTGCCTTGCCTTATTCGAAGTGCGCATTTCACCTCACCTAAGCGTGATGTTTTTATTTTTATTTTTATTTTAAATAGATGATGGTTAAATGAAGGAAAGAAAGGAAAACTTAAACAAAAAGTTTCTGTCCTCATTTTTTCAACCTTCTCACTGAAGCATGTCTCTCTCTGCCATAAAATTTAGAGGAACATAGAAATAAGACTGAATAAAGATGAAAATATGAATAGTTATATGTTCAATGATGGGGAAAATGAAGATGGGGATATATTTAGTGATGAATGACAGATATTGTGTTTTAGGTCTTTGCTATGTGATTTCGTAGTTCATTCTTTAGATTAGAAAATAAAATAAAAACAAAATGCTATTGAACGGGCTCTTATTTATGAGCCGTTGGTTTTACTTTTGCTTTCTTTCTTTTGTGCCTGTGCTTAACCCAAGAGCAGATGGAGGGAATGTTCTTTTTGTTGATTAGATAGAGGGGTGGGTTCTCCATGGTTATATATATTTTTTTTTCCAAAAAATGTTCATTTTGGGTTATCAGGGATCTTCAGCAGGTTTGTCGCTTCTGGAAATCTCTCTCCAGCTAACATATGATGTGTATCCTTGGTGAACGTGTGAGCATTGAGTTCAGTACTTGACCGTTAAATTAGCTTCTTGTTTCCAATTGTTTCCATCTTTGAAACCTTTTGACTGATTGTCATCAATTATATTTATGGTTGTGTATGAACTTGAAGGAATTGAGTTACAATTTGAAATACAATTTAGTTTCCAGATTTAAAGGAAGATATTTAAAAGAGCGACTTACCAAATTATCAAGTTATCATAGTTCCTACCAAATTATATGCATCGCAGGTGAAGGCTCTTTATGTGAAAAATATACCTGAGAACACTACTACTGAGCAATTGAAAGAACTGTTTCAGCAGCATGGGGAAGTAACAAAAGTGAATATGCCACCTGGAAAAGGTGGGAATAGTAAACGGGATTTTGCATTCATCCATTATGCTGAGAGGTCAAGTGCATTGAAGGCTGTTAAAGAGACAGAGAAATATGAAATTGAAGGTTTTGTTTTTCTATCCTTAGAGTATCACGTGTAATATTATATCTCAAATGCACAACACATCATTTCTTAACAGAAAAACGTTCGAAATATCTTAGACTACTATTTGTGTTCCTTGATGTGTGCATGGATAATCAAATTAGGTTGCAGACAGAACTTGCTTATTGGGCGGCCACTCTAATTCTGATAGCTCTTAGCAGCGTTTTCTCTCTATTTACTAAATTGGACAATGTGCTCAACTTATGGATGAAATTTCATTTAGTATATGTCTCCAACATTTAAAAATAAAGTAGGATGAATCAGAATTCAGAAGTAGCCAAGTTGTCCAAATAGATATACTGTATTTGATTGTGTTCTATGAAGGGAAAAAAGGGTGATAGGAGGGGGGATCCAGAAATGCTTTATCTGAACCTTTTTCTTTTAACCAAAAGAATAATCTTCAGAGATGTTGATCTGCAGGCCAAGTGTTGGAGGTTGTCCTTGCTAAGCCTCAAAGTGATAAAAAATCTGATGGGGCCTATTCCCATATATCTGGGAGTCATCCAAACCATCTTCTTCACGGTGGATATGGTGGAAATCCATACGGTTCCTTAGGTGGGTATGGTGTTACTGCTGGCTTCCATCAGGTAATGTGACCATTTTTCTTCTTACCTTTCAGAAAATAATTATTTAGGGTCCAGATTCATCTGCAGAATTTCAGTTGAGTTTATCTCCCAAAGAGAAAATAAAGTA